GAGAGGGACACCACTTGGAGGTGGTGTCCAGAAGATGGGGAATAGGAGATCCCGCGAACAAGAGCCAACCAAGAGGTAGGAAGCATTGACAAAGGAGAGAACAGACCGCGTGGAACAGAAGTGGAAAAATAAAAGACTCCGAGAAGATGGAAAACCTGTACCTACAGAATGAGTGAGCTCACTGTTCACTGGGGAAGATGAGAAACAGCCTGGCAAGGTTTTCCGATTGAAAGGATGAAGGATAGGGAGGTCGACTAGACCGCAGCCCGAGGAAGTCTCCCTTTGGGCATTAGATTACAGAAAACAGGAGACTTCTCGGTAGATGTTAAAGAGGAGAAAGAAGAGTGAAGGGCAAGAAGCAGTCAGTGCAGGAATTCCAGTGCTTAAAATGAGAGTCTGGATCTGACCTGTCCACCCAGGTTGTGATCAGCCACTGAGGCATGGATGGGCAGTGACACAAAATAGAGAAGGTGCATAAAGGAGAAGGTAAGCACAGGAAACACTGCTGCTCGCTAAGCCCAGCTTGGAGTCTGAATAATTGAAAATAAAAATTCAAGCAGAATGCAAATATAGTAAACACTCTTAAAGTATTAAAAATTATGGATTTGTATTAATAAGTGTCCAAGTTGATGGAAGAGGGACAGGAGATGGTCCTTACTGGCTACACATGTGTAACCAATAGATACTATTCACAGGTTGGCTTTGATCATTAGAGAAATCAGTGTGTTAAGGATACACTGTAGGAGGTAATCAGTTTAAAATAGAGTACAATACTTCTAAATCACTAAAAGAAAAAGCAAGCAAAATATAGTCCTGACATAAAGGATAGAAAAGCAAATGAACTATTTAGAAACAAAGATCCAGAAAGCACAAAATAAAATCATCCCATGAAATAATGCAAATGGGGTAAAGTTCAATTCACAATTACCATAACAAAGACTCTTAGATTCAGCTGAATAATACTCAGCTGAATTTTTATTACCAGAACTTAACTAAGACAGAGTGACATAGCTCAAAAATAAAAGGGTGACCAGTAACATAATGGACAAATAATGATAATGAAAGAGAAAAGTAGAGTTCAAAGCAAAGAGTGTTAAGTGGACAAAGTGAATTATTTTAGATTGGAGAACGCCATAATCTGTAATGATGATTTTTCTCTTTATGATAAAATGCATGTAGCATAAAATCTGCCATCCTGACTATTTTTAGGTGAACAGTTGAGTGGCATTAAGGACGTTCACACTGTTGGGCAACCATCACCACCATCCACCACCAGAACTCTTTCCATCTTGTAAAACCAAGATTCTGTATCCAGGAAGCACTGATTCTCCGTCCCTCTGTTCCCGCAGCCCCTGACAGCCAACATTCCATTTCTGTCTAGATTTGACTTCCCTGGGCACCTTGTATGGGTGGAATCATACACAGTTTGCCTTTCTGTCCCTGGCTTTCACATAGCGTGATGTCTTCAAGGGTCACCCACACAGGAGAATGTACCAGTGCCTCCTTCCTTATTAAGGCTGAAAGACGCACTGTTGCGTGGACACGCCATATTGCCACATTTTCCATATCCATTGATCTGCAGATGGACCCTCGGATTGCCTTTGGTCCACTGTGGGTGATGCTGCCCTTCACATGAGTGTGCCAGTCTGTGGTGGTAATTTCCAGAGTGATAAGCCTGCTGGTCAGGTTGCAGGAAGTTGTCCACTGGGTAGTGGGCAGTTTGAGCATACCCAGCAATCCTTTAACACAGTGTGGTTGGTTAACCACAGTCAGGCTGTTAACTTCCTTCTGGCTCCTGGCTTCATCCTGGTTCAGCCCTGGCTGTGGGGCCTCTTGGGGAGTGAACCAGTGGAAGGAAGATCTCTCTCTTCCTGTCTCTCACTCTCTCTCTCTCTGTAACTGTGACTTTCAAATAGATAAATAAATCTTTTTTTAAAAAAAATGTTAAGGAACATGACAGTTGGCAGAGTAAGTGCCCCCATTTTTGTTCGTCAGGCTGACAAAGGTGAAGGTGAGTGACTCGCTCCCAGGGGTTCTGAGTTCTCTGAGAGCAACAGCTGCCTGTTTGTTTATTCCTTCAGCCTCGGCACCTGACCCAGGTGAGCCTGCAATAGAGAACCATTAAATGGTCGGGATGGAGAACAATGCGCTCAGGGTAGGAGAAGCCGAGTGCCGTCAGCTGACAGCACCGATCGGAGCCAGCTTCCTGGATAGTGAAGCAGAAGCATGAGTCGAGTGCAGACACGGTGCTCCCTGGTTCTTGTAAAGTCAAGGTTAAATCTGCTCGGTAGCTTCAAGCATCCCTCTTAGTTTTAATAGAAACATATCATAAAGCTTAGGTATCTCTCAATGCGACATTTGCCAGCCAACATGCCTAAAAAGTTCGAAGGTAAAGCCCCAACACAACTGTTAAATAAAACTGTGCAAAGGAAAAATCTCAAGTTGCATGCCAGCTACACCTGGTGAAGTACCAGAATCCCACGTGAACATGGGGAAGATAGCCCCAGTCCCACGCTGAGGACGTGTGGCTGTGAGCCGTGGCATGGTGGCGGTGTGAACGGTAGCACCACCTACTGGCTGTTCTGAACACATCGCCATCCATGACTTTCCTATGTAGCCCTTATTTCTGCCTGGAGTTTGCAGTGTTGCAAGCTGAGAAGTTTCCCACAATGCACTGGTTGTTTGTGGTTCAGCTCTGTTCACAAAGTGTGCGTGCTCCAAGGCACAGAGCCCCTGTGTTGTTAACCACGGTGACCATTGTTGGGTGATCATGAAATGATGTTTTCAGTATTTAACTTCTAGCATAAGATTTGCTGCATAAGCATAGGTATTTATTGCACGCCTTTCTTTTTCAATTTGTGGTTGATGTATAACACACTATAACTTTTTCCCACTTAAAATGATGCAGAAAGGGGGTCCTAGTTAACATCTTATAGAGAACATCTTATTTCCAGGAGTGGATTACTGACATTCAATAGGAGATGCCTGCATTTTTAAAAGGTCATTAGCTATAATATTTCCCAATTTAAAAAGAAAAACTTGAAAATCACAAACTACACATATGTAGGGTTTTATCACAGTTATTTAAATTTTAAAATGTTGGAAATCTAAATGTTTAATAACAGTATCTGTGAAATAAATTCTAGGAAGTGTATATTATTAAATCCTATGAAGATGTTCCAGTCATATTTTGGAAGAAATTCATTATTATGAAAAATTTCTGCAATATAATAGTAAACATGCAAAGATCAGTGCAAAGTTTGTAACTTATGGTGCAGGTCGTGCGAGGGGAAAATGTTAACACATGCAGAGTGTGAGTTCTCCATAGACGCACAGTAAAGGGTTAACGGTGGTTCTCTCTGAGAGGATAATGGATGAGTTTAATTTTCTTCCTGCTGTTCTCATAGCAAAGCTCAGATTTTCTTTAATCACAATGTATTCCACTTGTACTTTTTTTTTTAAAGAATGCTGTTTTTAAAAAGCACAGTGGGGTAGGGGTTGAGGGGCTTTTGAAGATAACAAGAGGGGACTTCAAAGAGTTCATGGAAATGGAATTGAAATGTAAGTTCATCTTGGTACAAAAATGTCTTGAAATCCAGTCGGAGAGAGAATCTTCCAGAAGCTCACAGGGTGGGCATTTGGACTAGCAAGCAAGCCAGTTCACAGGACACCACACCCCACATCTGAGTGCCTGGTTTGAGTCTTGGCTCTGCCCCATTCCAGCTCCCTGCTAATGCGCATGCCGGGAGGCAGCAGGTGATACTCAAGCTGTAGGGTCCCTGCCACAAGGGAGCCTCACACTGAGTTCTCAGCTCCCAGCTTTGGCCTGGCCCAGCCCGGGCCACTGCAGTCATTTGAGGGGTGAACCTGAAGATGGGAGATCTCTCTCTATCTGACTTCCATCTGTCTCTCTGGTTCTCAAATAAATAAAAATAATTCATTAAAAATTTTAAGAAAAAGTGTGCTCATGAAAAATACATGGTATGAAAACACTATGCATGGATTTCACACCTGTATGCAGGAAACGAAAGCCAAAGTACAAACCCACACTGAGCTTTGTCTTAGTAACAACATTCTGCTTCCAAAGGGATGGATCCTAGTTGAGAAGACCCTGAGAAGCCCGAGGGGAAACAAGCTGACTTCAGGGGATGCTTCAGCGTCCACAGACAGAACACAAAGGTGGAGCAGTGGGAAGAACACGGGATTTGGGACAGACAGGCTGGATTCAGATCCTGCCTGCGCCCCTCAGGTCCTGAGTGACTGTGGGAAAGTAGAGGCACCTTTCTGAATCCCACCTGCTCACAGACAGAGTGAGAACGCCCCCCGGGGTGAGCAGGGCTCCGAGGTCACGGCCTGTGCAAGGGCCCAGCATCTGGGAGGCACTCAGCAGGGGCTGCTGTCCCACCTGCAGGGCTGGTGACGTCACTCGCCCCTCGCCTTTATCATTAGCTTTTAAATACAGTCCCTGGGCTTTGCACCAAAAACAAACTGAAAGGGATAACCAAAGAGAAGCAAGACCATTTAGCCTAGGCAGGCCCACACCCCACACTGGAGTGCCTCGATTGGATTCCCAGCTCCAGCTCCTGACTCCAGCTTCCTGCTAACGCAGTCACCCTGGAAGGCAGCAGTGCTGGCTCAAGTACTTGGTGTTGTCCCACCTACATGGGAGCCCTGGGGGGAGTCCCCAGCCTGTGGTTCCGGCCCAGCCCAGTCATGGCCATGGTGGGCATTTGGGGAGTGAACCAGCAGATGTGAGCTCCTGTCTCTCTCTCTTTCTCTGCCTCTCAAGTAAATTTGAAGCTTTGTTGTTGTTGTTGTTTTTTCCAAAAGAAGATAAAGCAAAAACTTTCCCTGTGTGCAGATGCATAGTCCTTAAAGTCAGTGGTGTAAATAAATGAGGAATGAGAAGGTGAAGAACTGAGAGAATGAGTGATGGCCGCACCCCCAGCCCCCCAACAAACACGCACACTGACGTCTTCCTTGTCTGCGTTCACTTTCAGCTTATCCACTCACCAAATGCCCTCCTCCCACCATCCTCCCCAACGCCGAAGTCGTCACCGAGAATGAGGAGTTCAACATAGGTACCACCTGCAAGCCAGCGAGGACCCAGGGGGGCAGGCACAGAGGGTGGGGCAGTGGTGGGGGCTGGCCAGCGGGGCTCACCTCTCCCTCCTGCCCATGCACGGAAAAATCTAGACCTGTGAACAGAGTTTGTGCCCCAAGTGCAGCCCCCTTCTTTGTGGCCCCACCCTGGGAGAGGAGCTGGGAAGGCCCTGTCACGCAGGCAGTGTGGGTTTCAGAAGTGAAGGTGCATGTGACAGTTGTGTGCATAGTCCCTGGGGGAGGGAAGCAACAGCCCAGCTGCTGACTGTCCTACCTGGAAGTGGGCTCGAGGTGCCCAGGGGCACACAGCAGCCCCACCCAGACTTCTCCAGTCTGTCTCTCTCCTCAGGTGACATCGTACGCTACAGGTGCCTGCCTGGCTTCACCTTGGTGGGGAATGAAATCCTGACCTGCAAACTTGGGACGTCCCTGCAATTCGAAGGCCCACCCCCACTCTGTGAAGGTAATCGTCCGAGCTGCGTCTCCCTGGGGCCGGCTCCTCCCAGACCAAGTCCTGGCGTAGCTCCTCTTCCTGGTCTGAGTTCTTAGTTATCCCCACTTCTCGGCCACTGCCCATGAAGTCAGATGCTCTCTACAGGGTCTCTGCCCTGATCTGAGGTCTGGAGCGGTGGCACGCTGGTTTCTGTCCTCCTCTTTGCTGCCTGGGCTTTCCTGGAAGTACATCCTGAGCATTGGCTGGAAGATGTTCTGGGGCCTCAGGGAGGGGTGGGCACAGGCACGGGCCCTCCCTGACAATGGCGTGCCTGTGCTCCAGGTCCTGGGGCCTGAACTGGGCAGCCAGGAGACCACGGTCGCCCTCATTGCTGGGCAGTGAAATCGGCAGAAGGTGAATTCGCCTCCCTTGTTCTCCCAGCTGACACCAGAAACCATAGCTTTCACTCAAGAGGCAGGCGGCCTAGGGCAGGCCATCTGATCGTCCTGGGAGGCTGTGATGAACGAGAGAAGTTAATACGTAATACTGCAAGGCACTCTAAACTGTCCCTGCACGGATGAACTGCTCCGTGGTGGCAGTTATAGTTACGATAGCCAGTCCTTGGACTGTTTCTAGTGTCATTATTCCCAACAAATATTCAGTAGCCCCTGGATGAAGAGGTCCACCTCCCCTCCAGTGGTTAGAAGGCATGGACAGGAAGAATCTACAGTGAGAACCATTAAGGAGGAAGTCAGGATCCATGAGCTACAGAACTGGGCTGCCCCGATGCAACCAGAATCTCACCATCTGTTTGTTTCGGTTGAGCTCTGCGTGCACCCTCAAGCCAGCCAGCCAGGCTCCTGCTCCAGGGCTGCCTGCATTGCTCCACGCCGGGTTTCTCACCTCTGGTGCTGTGCCTGTGTCTCTGTGGCCCCCGTCAGGGCTTCCTCTCCAGTCTCAGTCTCACAGTTCCCTCTGGGACTTGGTGCCAGTCTTGCTCCCTCAGACATGACCGTTGTGGTCTGTCTGTCCTGAGGGCTTGATTATTGGGATGCGATTCACATGCCGTGCAGTTCACCCCCTTCAGATGTGGTTCAGTAGTTTTTAGCATCTTTGCAGTTTTGAAACCATCACCACAATCAAGTTTATACCCTTTCATCGCGCCAAAAGAAATAGCATACCCAGTAGTAGTGACTCCTCACTTCTTTCCAACCCCCTTAGCCCTACACAGCCACCACGGTTTCTGTCCATATGGCTGTGCCCTGTCTGGCTGTTTCAGATTGGTGGAATCCTACTAGGTGGCAGCCTCCTTCTAGTTAGCACAGCATTGTCAAGGGTCCTCCATATGGCAGCATGTTGTTGGCGCTTCCTGCTTTTTGCTGTTGGATAATAGTCCATTGTGTGGATACACCACATTCTGTTGACTCGACCATCACTTGGTGAACATCTGGGCCATTCCTCCTGTGGAGTATGAGGTGTGATGCAGCTTTGAACATGCTAGCATTTGTTTTTATGTGGACACATGTTCCCAGCTCTCTTAGATGTGTAACCTGGAGTGGAATTGCTGGGTCGGGTGGTAAGTGTATATCTAACCTTTTGAGAAACTGCCAGGCTGTTTTCCAAAGCAGCTGAATTTTACCCTCCAGCAGTGTTTCAGTGATCTAGTTCCTCCATATCTTCTTACTGTTATCTGTCTTTTAAATTGTAGCCATCCTGCTGGGTGCAAAGTGGTGTCTGATTGTGGTTTTAATTTGCATTCCCTGATAGCTGATGGTTTTTTGAGTACCTACTCATGTCCTTATTGTACATCTTCTTTGGAGAAACGTCTATTCAAATCCTTTACCCATTTCATTTATATTTAATTAAAAATAATACCTGTATGTACTTCTGGGGTACACTGTGATCTCAGTGCCTGTATAACTGTATACCTTGTATAATGATTAATATTGTATAAGTCAAAATAGCTAGAACATTGGATTTTTAATATTGTCATCATAAAGAAGTGATAAATGTTTGAGATGATGGATACTAATTTTAAAAACTAGATTATTTGTCTTTTTATTATTGAGTTGTAGGAGTTCTTTATAGACCCTAGACACCACTCCCTTATAAGACAGGGATTTGAAAATATTTTTCTTCCATTTCACGGGTTATTTTTTCGCTCTCTTGACGATATTCTTTGAAGCACAGAAGTTCTTACTTTGATTATGTCCAGTTTATTATTTTTTTCTTTGGTCACTTGTACTTTTGATGTCATATCTAAGTTTAAAAGATTTTTATTTATGTATTCTTCCTAAAATTTAAAGATTCAGCTTTTACATTTAGGTCTTTGATATATTTTGACCAGTTTTGTATGTGGTGTGAGGGAGGGGTCCAGCTTCCTTCATTTGCTTGTAGAAATCCAGTTGTCCTGGTACCATTTATTGAAAATGATATGAGGCCAGCGCCACGGCTCACTAGGCTAATCCTCCGCCTTGCAGCACCAGCACACCGGGTTCTAGTCCCGGTCAGGGCGTCGGATTCTATCCCGGTTGCCCCTCTTCCAGGCCAGCTCTCTGCTGTGACCAGGGAGTGCAGTGGAGGATGGCCCGAGTACTTGGGCCCTGCACCCCGTGGGAGACCAGGAGAAGCACCTGGCTCCTGCCTTGGGATCAGCGCGGTGCGCTGGCCGCAGCGTGGCAGCCATTGGAGGGTGAACCAACGGCCAAAGGAAGACCTTTCTCTCTGTCTCTCTCTCTCACTGTCCACTCTGCCTGTCAAAAAAAAAAAAAAAATAGCTAGAAAGGTGTCACTCATTCCTGGTATGAAAACAAAAATTTATATGTATGCCACTTCTTCTAAAAGCCAGTGTCGGGGTTGACACTATGGCACAGCAGGCTAAGCCACCACTTGGGAGACCGCATCCCATTTCAGAGTCCTTGAGAATGATTTCCACTTCTGCTATCAATCCAGCTGCCTACTAATGTGCCTGGAAAGCAGCAGATGGTGGCCCAAGGATTGGGTCCCTGCCACCTTTGTTGGAGACCCAGACTGAGTTTCAGGCTACTGGCTTTGGCCTGGCACAGTCCCAGCCATTGTGACAATTTGGAGAGTGAACCAGCAGAGGGATGATATCTCTCTTTCTCTCTCCCTCTCTCCCTCCCTCTCTGTAACTCTGCTTTTCAAATAAATAAATCTTTTTTCGAAAACAGAATATTTGAATAACACATTTACATCCATAAGCTTTTACTGCATAAAAACCATTTTCGAGCCGGCGCCGTGGCTCAATAGGCTAATCCTCCACCTTGCGGCGCCGGCACACCGGGTTCTAGTCCCGGTTGGGGCGCCGGATTCTGTCCCGGTTGCCCCTCTTCCAGGCCAGCTCTCTGCTATGGCCAGGGAGTGCAGTGGAGGATGGCCCAGGTGCTTGGGCCCTGCACCCCATGGGAGACCAGGAAAAGCACCTGGCTCCTGGCTCCTGCCAGGATCAGCGCGGTGCACCGGCTGCAGCGGCGGCCATTGGAGGGTGAACCAACGGCAAAGGAAGAACTTTCTCTCTCTGTCTCTCTCTCTCACTGTCCACTCTGCCTGTCAAAAAAAAAAAAAAAAAACCATTTTCAACATTTAGAAGCTCTAAACAGTAGCTATTTATTTTCTATGAAAGATTTACTTCAAATATATATATACTTCAAATATATATACTTATATATATTTAGATTATATATTTATTTGTATATAAATTTATATTTATATATAATATTTACTTCAAATATATACATACTATATGAATTCCAAATAAAAGGAGAAAAATACATTCCATGAATATGATTAATGTAAGAAATATAAAAAGAAATTTCTGCTAGTACTACAAAGAAGGATAATTACCAAAAATAGATATTTTATAATGATGAAAGGGTCCTTCAGTTTTTTGGGGTTTTTTTTGTGTGTGTGTGTGGTTTTTTTGTTTTGTTTTGTTTTGTTTTGTTTTGTTTTTTTGACAGGCAGAGTGGACAGTGAGAGAGAGAGACAGAGAGAAAGGTCTTCCTTTGCCGTTGGTTCACCCTCCAATGGCCGCCGCGGCCAGTGCACCGCGCTGATCTGATGGCAGGAGCCAGGTACTTATCCTGGTCTCCCATGGGGTGCAGGGCCCAAGTACTTGGGCCATCCTCCACTGCACTCCCTGGCCACAGCAGAGAGCTGGCCTGGAAGAAGGGCAACCGGGACAGAATCCGGCACCCCGACCAGGACTAGAACCCGGTGTGCCGGCGCCGCAAGGTGGAGGATTAGCCTAGTGAGCCGCGGCGCCGGCCACAGTTTTAAAGGATATATCAGTGTATATGCATTTAGTAAAAGCTCTTCAAAATACATGAGGCAAAAACTAACAGAACTGAATGTGGAAAAAGAAAAGATATCAACGGTACATACTAAAGACCATTTGTAATTCAGCAGTAAGACAGCCTGATAAAAGCATGGACAGCCGACTAGAGCAGACACTTTGCAAGAAAGATACATGAGTGGCCCATAGCAATGGAAAGATGCTCAGCACTGGTCATCAGGGAAATGTGAGTCCAACCACAGTGAAATATAACTGCACACCCACTAGAATGGCCAAAGTGTAAAGACAGAAGATTGTAAATGTTGACAAGGATGTAGAACAAGTGCAGTTTTTCATAAATTACTGGTTATAACATCACTCATACAGCCAGTTTGGAAAAAGGGTTGGCAGTTTCCTTTAAAGTTAAACGTACACCTACCGTCTCCTTGGTAATTCTGCTTTTGCTTTTTTATCCAAGAGAAATGAAAACCTATGCCACAAAAAGACTTTTACATGATTCCATCCATAATAAGCCACAACTAGAAACCACAACCCAGATGTCTGTCCATCAGTGAGAGAATGCATAGTCAAAGTGTGCTATGATCATACAGTGGAGTACCACTGAACAGCAGAAATAAATGAAGCCATGGTGCACAAGGCAGTATGGGCTGAATCTCATGGACATGTTATTTAGCAAGAGGCCAAACGGCTGGTGTCATGGTGTGGTGGGTAAAGCCGCTGTCTGCAGGGCTGGCAACCATATGGATGCTTGTTCGTGTCCCAGCTGCTCCACTTCCAATCTAGCTCCCTGCTGATGGCCTAGGAAAGCAGGAGGTGACTCAAGTGCTTGGGCCTCTGCCACCCATATGCTCCTGGGTCCTTGCTTTGGCCTGGCCCAGCATTGGCCATTGCAACCATTTGGGGAGTGAACCAATGGGTAGGAAATCTCTCTATATCTGTCTCTTCACTCTCTTTGCAACTCTGACTTTCAAATACATAAATAAGGCCGGCGCCACGGCTCACTAGGCTAATCCTCCACCTTGCGGCGCCAGCACACCGGGTTCTAATCCCAGTCGGGGCACCGGATTCTGTGCTGGTCGCTCCTCTTCCAGTCCAGCTCTCTGCTGTGGCCTGGGAGTGCAGTGGAGGATGGCCCAAGTGCTTGGGCCCTGCACCTGCATGGGAGACCAGGAGAGGCACCTGGCTCCTGGCTTCGGATCAGTGCGGTGCTCCGGCCGCAGCGGCCATTGAGGGGTAAACCAATGGAAAAGGAAGACCTTTCTCTCTGTCTCTCTCTCACTGTCCATTCTGTCTGTAAAATATATATATATATATTATATATATAATATATATAATATATATATAATATATATATATATAACATATATATAATATATATAATATATATAATATATATATATATATATATAAATCTTGAAAAAAAAAAGAAGAAGCCAAACACAAAAATAACCCATGTATGGTTCCAGTGCTGTCAGGCTCTGGTACAGGCAAACTAACCCACAGTTGTAGAAATAACATCAGTGATTTCCTGGAGCAGGGCAGATCACATCAACTGCGAAGGAATGTGAGAGAGCGTTCCATGGTGATGTAGATATGTGTCTTAACTGTGGGAGTGATTATACAGATAGGATGGATAGCAACAGTTCATGAAGCATGCATATTATGAAAAAATGTCACATGGATTTCAACATTTTGCAGTAAATAAACTTATCTTTTCAAGTTTATTTGAAAGATTAAGGGGTGAGGGGGACAGATGAACAGACAGATGGACAGAGCGAGAAAACAAGCTCCCATCAGCTGCTTCACTCTTCAGATGCCTGTAAGAGCCAAGATGGGGCTGGGCTGAAGCGGGGAACTCAATCCAGGTCTCCCACGTAGGAGGCAGGAATCCAGTTACTCGAGCCATCGCTGCCGTCCCCCAGTGTTCACCTAGGCAGGAAGCTGGAGTCGGGAGCCAGAGGCAAGCGCTGAGCTCAGGTACTCTGGAGGGGGCACAGAATCCTAACTGCTGTTTAATTGCTAGGCCTAACACCCACCCCTAAACTTACCTTTTTTTTTTTAAGATTTCTTTATTTATTTCAAAGTCGACTTACACAGAGAGAGAAGGCGAGTCAGAGAGAGAGAGGTCTTCCATCCGCTGGTTCACTCCTCAATTGGCCACAATGGCCGGAGCTGTGCTGATCCAAAGCCAGGAGCCAGGAGCTTCTTCTGAGTCTCCCATGCGGGTGCAGGGTTCCAAGGACCTGGGCCATCTTCTTCTGCTTTCCCAGGCCATAGCAGAGATCTGGATTCGAAGTGGAGCAGCCGGGACTCAAACCGGCGCCCATTTGGGATGCCAGCACTGCAGGCAGCGGCCTTACCCGCTACACCACAGTGCCGGCCCCTAAACTTACCTTTTAATTCCATTTTTCTGTGAGTTCTTTGAAGCCCCCTAATATATACATTTGCCAGAATTTATTGAACCATGCACTTGACATCTGTGCATTTTATTGTACATAAGTTCTATCTCAAACATGCACAACTGTGTAAGTTGCTACCCAGGACACCCACATCCATTTCAAGAGTGCCTGGATCAAGTCCTGGCTACTCCACTTATGACCCAACTTTCTACTGATGTTCATGCTGGGAGGCAGCAGAAGATGGCTCAAGGACTTGGGCCTCTGCCACCCACCTGGGAGATCTACATGGAGTTTCAGACTCCTGGCTTTGGCCTGCCCCAGCCCTGGCTATTGGTGGTATTTGGGGAGTGAATCAGTGGGTGAAATACTTCTCTCTGTTTCCTTCTCTCTCTCCCTCTCTCCCTTTCTCCCTCTCTCCCTCTTTCCCTCTCTCCCTCTCTCCCTCTCCCTCTCTCACCAACCCCTCTTTCAAATAAGATGAAAATGGATTCAAGTATTTAGGCCCCTGCCACCCATGTGGGAGACCTGGATGAAAACGCCTGGCTCCTGGCTTAGGCCTGGCCCAACCCTGGCCATTGTGGCTGTCTGGGGAGTAAACCAGTGGATGGAAGATCTCTCTCTCTCTCTCTCTCTCTCTCTTTCAAAATAAATAAAGCAATCTTTAAACATAAGTAAATAAAAAATAAATAAAATGAAAATGAATGAACTTTTAAGTGCATTTTTAAAGAAATTAATGTTATAAAACAGAGAAACTGCCCTTCTGGTAACCAAGTAAAAAGATAGACTTGAAACAAAGAGCAGCAAAGTAGTCAAGCTGTTAGATAAGCTAATAAACAATAAAGAACAAAAGCAGGAAGACAGAAAATGAGAAATAAAAATGGGATATAACCACTGAAGTCAAATAACTGTGTTAAATTACAAAACTCTTCTGCACAAATCTGTGCCAATAAATTTGAAAACCAAAATGATATGAATGATTTTTCCAGGAAGGCATAGGAAGTTTATGCTGTCCAAATTCTCCAAAAAACATAGGGAATGTTAACAGAGGAACTGCCTCCCCAGAGATCTCAAGACAAGACGGTTGGGGGCGGGTGCTGGGCCTGGGTTCCATGCCTGACTGCGGCTCCTGACTCCAGCTTCCTGCTGACGCACACCCTGGGAGGCAGTGGTCATGGCTCAGGCGCTTGAGTTCCTGCCACCCACGTGGGAGACCTGGGTTCAGTTCCAGGCTCCTGACTTGGGCCTGGCCCAGCCCCAGCCACTGGGGACACTTGGAGAGTGAACCAGTGGTTGGAAGCTATGTCTGTCTGTGGTGAGGTCTCCTCCCCAGCACAGCGCTTCCTTGGCCTTGCGCTCCCAGATACCCCCTGTACCAGGGGCCCAGAAGCCAGCACTCACAGGAAGCCTGTCCAGAGGCACATTGACTGATCCATTGCAGCAAGTGGAGTGCTTGCAGCTACTGCACAGAGCACGCCTCGTTCAAGCGACTGAACGAGTTGGCTTGGTCCTCAGAATTATGCTTATGAGTCTGCAACCCAAGTGGCTGTAGGCGGGTAGTCCTGAAATGGGTTTCATGCAGGCTGTTCTGGATGCATCCTTGTGCCCCTGTAACACTGATCACACACACACACACAAACACACAGTGCCTGGGGTGCACAAATCCTGGGAACCAGGATCCCCACTCCTTTTAATGGTGATGGACAGAACCCAGCCCTGCCCCTGCAGCTCCCTCTTTCTAAATCCCATACTGACGGTCCTCCTTAGGATGCCATTGTTTTCTTCAGCTATGTTACGGGTTCCCTAGGCCATGCCCAAGCTCTGCTGAGTCTGTCTGCACCAGAATGGCCATCCTCAGCTCTGCAGTTCATTGAAGGACTATGTCGCAGGTTCACATTTATTATTTCATGTAGTATAGTGGGAGGTGCTGTAGATAGAGAAATCAGCACACAGAGAAAATAATTTGGTCGAAATCACACAGGTAGAGCTGGGCTACAAATCCAGGTGTGTTTATCAGAATCCCCTGTGCTTCCTTCTGTCCCACCCTATCTTTCATACAAGTACAAGTCGAACCCATTTTATGGATTAGCTTTGTGGGTTTGAGCATGTGTTTCCGTTTTCTCTCTGTGTGTGGCCTCTTCACTGACTACAAACTCAGGCAGTAGGGCCCACACCTGAGCTCAGGGAAGTGATTGCAACCACCTGGCCGTGTATGAGCACCAGCAATCCTGCAAAACTCTCCCAGGATCTGAGGTCGCCTCATGTCATAGAACAGTGGAATGATGGGCATGGGGTCCTGCGTGAATGCACTCAACCACTAGTTTCCCACGGTTGTCTTTTGCACCAGGGAGAAGCAGACGTGTTGGCTCTCGTCCCCTCTCCACCCCCATGTACCTGGTATTTCTCTCTCTCTCTCTCTCTCCAAGTGCACTGCCCAACGAATGAGCTTCTGACAGACTCCACAGGCGTGATCCTGAGTCAGAGCTACCCCGGAAGCTACCCTCAGTTCCAGACCTGCTCTTGGCTGGTTAGGGTGGAGCCCGATTACAACATCTCCATCACAGTGGAGTACTTCCTCAGCGAGAAGCAGTACGATGAGTTTGAGATCTTCGACGGTAGGTCGACCACGTGCTGCCGCGACCGCGGCTGCGCAGGGGCTGGGCTTGCTCCGGAACCCTGGGGTTTCTGCTGCACTTCTCTTGGGGCTTGCCAGAGGCTCCCTGTGCTGTCTGTCTCCACCATGGAATCTCGGGATGAGGGGATCCAACACGTTGTATGGCCCGAACAGCAGGGCTGCTGGTGTTGCAGCTTGGACCTGTCGCAGAACCAAGTAGCTCCCACCCAGAGGCAGCACCCTTCAAGGTCAACAGCTGTATTCCCCAGTGAAGGGTACATGGCCTCCAGAACCCAAACACCGGGTGCCTCTTCTGTGGTAGCAGGAAGTCAACAATGCGGTCATCTCCTCTCTCATTTGGAGGCAACGTCTCAGTGTGCCCCAAACCACTCGGCCCTAACAACTGCACTGCAGACTTTGTAGGGTTTATCTCTTGCCTTCTGAAGCCCATGAGTCTGCAAAACCATCTCCACTGCCTGTCGCTTCTGGCTCATCAGATCCCATGAACATGAGTGAGCCAACACGGTCCGTTCTGCAGGAGTGTCCAGGTGTCCGAATCCCTTCAGACAACACCATGACTGGGGGCAGGGGAAGGAACACAGCTCCGGGGCAAAACCGAGGCGGTATACTGCCTTCCACCCCTGCGGACACAAGCTGCTTCTCATCCGCCTAGAAAGGCGGATAAGGGAAAGCATGCATCAGCTGATCCGCGGTGCACCCCCTGTCACCAGCCTGTCAGTCCTGCTCTAATAAACACGCTACGTCAGGCACGTCTCGTGCAGTTGAGGCCACGGCTTGGCTACGTTTACCTTGTGGGTGGGCCTGAGCCAGGATTTCATTTATTACCAACTATTACTCATGCCCCCTCTGATGGACAGCCAGGATGGTGCTCTGCATCCCAGGGTGTCAGGGTCACTTCACACCCTGCATCCAGAAGCCTTTCTTACACCTGGTCATGCCCTCACCTGTGGTGTACACTTACCTGAGGGAACAGTGGTGGGTCTTTGGGGAGACAAACAGGAGGAGTTGCCTCTGTATACACTGGTGTCCTTCTGCAGGGGCCTTCTTCATGGGGACTCAGCCTCTGCTTCAGCCACAGCGCTCTGGGATGGGAAATGAAACCGGAGCCTGCAAACCCGGCAAGGGACTACGACTCCAGCAGGGGCAGCTCCTCTTGCCCTGGTGTCTGCTGTCTTCCCACAGTCACACTTGGCCTTGACTGCTTTGTTTGGTTGCCGGTCTGTCTTGCCCTCAGGAGAATGAGGTTCTGCGAGCCATCTCCACAGATGCCAGGGGGTCACACCTTCCCTGCTGCCACTCCAGCCTTTCTGTCTGTGTCAATACTCATACCAGCCTAGCTTCTGGCTCTTACATGCGTCTACCTGGCCTGCATCTTCCAGGATCTCCTCAAGCCCCTGGCCCCGGGGAGCCTGGTTCCACGACGCCTCCCCTCCCCTCAGTTGCAGCCTAGAACACAGCCACTCCCCAGGTTTTCAGTGGCGCTGGTGCTCACGTCTCATCAGTGCATTCTTGGTTGCTTTAGGAAGTGGACTGTGGTCCGGGCACAGCCAGCTGGTGGGCATCCTGGTCTGCACGGCAGACCTCTCTCCCAGACCCCCTCTCTGTGTCTGCAGACCCCTCCTCCACTCGTGGTCACAGCAGTTCCCAGGGCTCTGCCTGTTTAAGGAGCTCCATGAATTTTTCCAAGCTTCCAAGAGCTGTCCCAGCAGCTTCCCTCGGGGCTTTTCCCAGAGTGATAATCCCGTGTTAGAGATTATCCAGCTTTATGTTCTGCCCACTGTGAACCAGCCCCCCAAAGAATATAGTCCCAGACACTTGAGGCTGGGAAAAGGAAGAGGGAGGCCTTTCTCCGGGAGCCCTGGGGAGCTCCTTTTGATCCTGAGATGTGAGATGTTTTCCTCCAGCGGTATATTCTTTCAATAAGTGGTGTTTTTTTTCCCAATGTGGTAGGCCCGGAGCTGTATTTGGTGTGCACAAGAGAGGTAGGGTGCCCAGCTTTCTCATTAACCATCAGCTTGGCCTTGGGCAAGGCCCAAATGGCAAATAGGCTCCATCGCACCTGCCACCTCTGGAGGTAGACAGGGACTTCCCAGGGCGCTGTTTCAGGACACGGCTCAGGAGAGGAGGGGGTCCCTGGAGCAGTAGCTCTGGGCACCAAAAGGAGCTGGGTACAAGTGAGGCTGCTGACTTTCAGCAAATGGCAACGTGAGCCCCAGCCTGCACTTGAGGGTCTCCGGGAGAGCGTGATGGTCTGTAATGCCCTGTCCCTCTCTCCCCAGGGCCCTCTGGACAAAGTCCTCTGCTGAAAGCCCTCAGTGGGAATTACTCGGCTCCCCTGATCGTCACCAGCTCAAGCAACTCTGTGTACCTGCGCTGGTCGTCTGACCACGCCTACAACCGGAAGGGCTTCAAGATCCGGTATTCGGGTGAGTAGGTCTCCAGGACTGGAGAAGGGCCCCTTACCTTGCTCACTCACAACCCCCAGATGCGCCCCGCGCTGTTTCCTCATCAGGATAGCTAGCTCTGTGTGGGGCTCAGGCAACCTGTCTCCTCCAGTCCCTCACCAGAGGGTCCCTGTGCTGTCTGTCTCCACCACTGAAGCTCAGGACCAGGGAAGCTGCATAAGGGTCCTTGGCTCTTTCCTACCTCCTCTGCCCCTCCCCCTTTCCCCACTTTCCCCTCTGCCCACTCTTTTTGCCATCCTATAGCCTGGGTCTGTAACTGTTCTGTAGGAAAGGCTAGCAGTCTACAGGGAATTCCATTGCTACATGAAATGTTGACAACAGGTCCTTAAAACTGCAAAACCTGAAGTTGTGTGTCTCTAACTGGCCAGTGTTGGGCAGGCAGCAAAGGACAGGCTGCATTTCAAGTCCAGGAGCCTCCCTCTCTACGTACAGGCAGAGTCAGATCAAAGGCCAGGCCTGCTAGGTGCCGACCCATGCAACAAATCTTTAATGAGCCAAGAGTCACCCAGGGGGTGCAACGAAATGGACAAAGTTGAATTTATCTGAACTCCATCATAAATGCCGCTGTCTATGTTGAAAGAAAACTGGATACGCTGCCTGATGACTGGCTGCCTTGGAGGCAGGCAGGTGCCTTGCACCTTGCCTTGGCTCAGCAAGGCCAGAGGCAGTGTGGGAGGGGTCTCACTGTGTTCCGGCCCCTACAGGAGTTTTTCTCTGGCTGTGTTTGGCCTGAATTCCAAAAAATGCTGGACTAATTTTTTTTAAAGATATATTTATTTATTTAAAAGGCAGAGTTACAGAGAGAGAGAAGGAGATAGAGGGACAGAGAGATCTTCCATCCCCAAGTGGCTACAACTGCCCAGGGCTGGGCCAGGCAGAAGCCAGGATCCTCCAGGTCTCCCATGCAGGCACAGCGGCCCAAGCACTTTGACCATCTTCTACTGCTTTCTCAGGCCAAAAGCAGAGAGCTGGATCGGAAGAGGAGCAGCCAGGACAAGAACTGGTGCCCATATAGGATGCCGGTGCCACAGGTGGAGGCTTAGCCTACTATGCCACAGTGCCAGCCCCAACCAAGCATATCTTATAACTAAGACTCTTGTTCCTGGGTGAGGTGGGCACATAGATGCAGTGTACATAGTACATGGAACAGAAGGACACACATCTGACATGGTAAGGGAGAATTTAAGACACCAAGTTGGGGGCTGATGTTTGTCCTAGCGCTTTAGTGCCTGTGTCCCATATAAATGTCTGGGTTCAATCTCAGCTCCAGCTCCCAGTTCCGGCTTCCTTTCACTGCAGATCCTGGGAGGCAGCCGTGATGGCTCCCGTTGAGTTCCTGCCACTCATGTGGAACATTTGGATTGAGTTCCCCGCTCCTGACTTTGGCCTGCCCAACCCCAGCTTTTTCAGACTTTTGGGGGAGTGAACCAGCAGACAGGAGCTCTGTCTGTCTCTCTCTCTCTCTCTTCTTTTTTTCTCAAATAAGTATTATTTTAATTAAAAAAAGAGCCAGCGTTGTGGCTCACTTGGCTAATCCTCTGCCTGTGGCACCGGCATCCCAGGTTCTAGTCCTGGTTGGGGCAGCACCGGGTACTAGTCCTGGTTGCTCGTCTTCCAGTCCAGCTCTCTGCTGTGGCCAGAGAGGGCAGCGGAGGATGGCCCAGGTGCTTGGGTCCCTGCACCCGCATGGGAGACCAGGAGGAAGCACCAGGCTCCTGGCTTCAGATCGGTGCAGCACGCTGGCTGTAGAGGCCATTAGGGGAGTGAACCAACGGAAGGAAGACCTTTCTCTCTGTCTCTCACTGTCTATAACTCTACCTGTCAAATAAAAAAAATAAAAAAAAAAAAAAAGTCAAGTGTTTGGCATAGAAATTAAGACACCACTTGAGATACCCATGTCTAAGTGCCTGGTTTGAGTCCTGGCTCCTTGCTTCCAGTCCAGTTTCCTGCTAATGCACACCGGGGGGCCAACAAATCATGACTCAAGTTCTTGAGTCCCTCTACCCGTGTAGAACAGATGATGTCCCTGGCTCCTGGCTTTGCCCTGGTCCAGCCCTGGCTGCTGTGGGCATTTGGAGAGTGAACCAGCAGATGGAAGATCTTTCTCCATCATTCATTCATTGTCTCTCTCTCTCTCCCCCCCTACTTTGTCTCCCTCTCTCTCCCCATCCCCTTCTCTCTCTCTCTCCCTCCTCTTTCTCTCTCCACTTTTCAAATAAAGTGATAATAAATACATCTTTTAAATAGATAAATTTTAAATATATTTAAAAAATAAACACCAAGTTCGGCAGCAGAGGCCTTTGCTGTGGAGAGACTGTGAAGGCCCTGGTGTCCCGGTACCAACTTGACCCTGTGTGCCTTGGAGACCCAGCCAAGGACACCAGGGACAAGTGGCAGGCAGAGTGGTCCTTTGGTTATCCTCTTCCCAGACTCATGTACTCCCCACCCCAGACCCTGGCAGGATTGATAATGCCAGCTCTCCAGGCTAGGTTTTCCCCTGCTGTCTTCATGGTGCTGTCCCAGTGCTGAGAACAGCACCTGACACATAACAGACTTGAGATGGATGTGTTGAACTGATGAATGATCTATACTGAAGCCATGACCTTCCCCTGCAGGGAAGTTCACAGTCGAGGTTACCCCAGGTCCACCCTGGTCCCATTCCCTAAGAGCAGACAGCAGGGGGATGGCCCTTTGCTGAGCTCTGTGTGTCCTGCACTCTGCTGTGCTGGGCTATTGACAAGCACAAAAACCTGCGAGGCAGGTACGGTCCCGATGTCCAGCCGAGGAACCTGGAGCTACACAAGCCTCACCGATTCGTCCTAAGCTGCAGAGCTGGTGAGGTCAGAAAGGGGACGCTCTTACAGTCACACCTTTCCTGAACCAGCGCCATGGGGTGTGGCGCTCCAGGCCTGGGAGCCGCAGGGATTTGAGAGCTGAGCCTGGCCCTACAACCAGTGCTGCCTTCAGAACACAGTGGGGACCCATGCTTCGTGGGTTGTTTTCCATCTTCCTGTGTTGTGTTGTGTTGTTGTGTTTTGGTTTGTCTAAATGACTCACACCTTCCTCTGTAGCGGAGGACCTGGTAGTGGGAAGACAGGAGATGGGGAGAGGAGAAAGGGGCGGGGCAGGCATGAAAGACCACGTCCCCCTGGCAGAGTCCAGTTCCCTGAGCCCTGTCTTGTGTGCAGCCCCTTACTGCAGCCTGCCTCGGGCCCCACTGCACGGCTTCATCCTGGGCCAGACGAGCACCCAGCCCGGCGGCTCCATCCACTTCGGCTGCAATGCTGGATACCGCCTGGTGGGACACAGCATGGCCATTTGTACCCGGCACCCCCAGGGCTACCACCTGTGGAGCGAAGCCATCCCTCTCTGCCAAGGTGAGGAGCAGGCAGGAAGTGGGGTGTGTACACCATGGCTCCGATCCAACTCACATCTTGGGCTTGTCCCAGGACAAGTCATTGCCAAGTGTGGGTTTCTCCATGGGTCATTTTTGAGGCTCTGTCATTTCCAGCCCTGGGGATGGCATATGCACAGTAGTCTCTGCGTTCAGGGCAGGGGAGAGATGGGTATGTGAGCACAGAAATGCCAGGTGACAGAGTGCGGAAGCTCTGGTTCAGAGGTATAAGCTGGGTGGTGGGAGACCCAAGGTAAGCAGGACCCAACCTCCTGCTGGACAACCAGAGAGGGCTCCCAGAGACGGGGTGTTTGGGCATGGGCTCCCAAACAAAGTGGACTGATAAACACTGGAAATGCACCAGGCAGCTTGCATGCATTGCTTTTTATAATTTATCTCATATTCTTGGAAAAAATTATATAGTGAAAAAAAGTGAAAAATTGACCTATAATCCTATCACTTGATGATCGTACCCCTATTAACATTTGCATATTTTCTTTGTTCTTGTATATACTGATCACAAAAATAGAATCCTGAGTGTACAAAATTCTTAATATCTCATTAACTCTTTGTGTATCATTAAATGCACTTCCTTACCAGTGTTTTCCATTGGTGCATAGCCTTATGGGAAAGCTCATGTATTCAAATCTCATCCTTTTTTTGGTCATTTAGATTTCTGTAAACCTGTAAACCCATCTTATGAACATCCATACTTTTTCCTTAAAATAAATTCCCACCAATGGCCTTGCTGAATCATAACTGGTGCTAAATTTTCTGCTGATTGTTATTGCCCTGCAGAAAGTTAGTTCTCATTTAAACGTCCACCAGCAGCAGGTAAAAGCTGTTGTTTTTCTCAGTCTCCTCATCCTGCGTTAAAAAAAGAAAACACCTTTGCCCATTGCATGGACGATGACAGGACCTTGCTTTGCTGTTTGGTTTGACTTTCCTTTGCTGCCCAGCGTGGTGAAGGGCTGTTAACAGCACCTGCCAGCTCTGAGCCTCACAATCTTCTCGTCTGTGCCTGCTTTTTCTCAGTGGAGGAAAACAGTGTTATTCGTATTCTAGTCTAAGCCCTAAGCAAAGGTCCCAGAGAACTGACTGTCGTCCACACAGGGCAGCTGTCAGGGCTCCTGGGTCTGCATCTCTAACTGCATCTGTGTTTTCCAGAGCTCCTGTTGGAGCTACCAAGCCTCTCGTCTGTTATCGTGCATCACCACCCAAATGCAGCCCACCCAGGCTCCTGCCCACTCACCCCAATACTGCTCTGTGTCTTCTCCCAACCCCACCCTGCACCTCCCCCAACGCCTCTGCATTCTCTGGAACCCTGGTTCCATGGCCAACCGTGCATACCCTCGCTCGTAATCCAGAAGGTTCCATGGAGACTGCAGCCCCCTCAAGTGCAGTGTGTGAACCTCCCCCCACCCCAACCATTTCCCACATAACTCAGGGCCAGGAAGAGCCTGGCCTCCTCCCAGTTCTCTGAGACTTCCCCAAAGACAGCTTCCTTCTCTCCATTAGAGAGGCTGTGCCTCCTCTCTTCTCTCCTTCCCCAGCCCCATTCTCTCAGCATAGTGTCTGTCTGTCTGTCTCTCAGACCACAGGTTTCAAACGCTTTGGGCTTGTGTCCTCTCCTGCCTCCACCCCAGGATGTGTCCCTCTCCCCTCTGGGCCTGAGAGCCTCCATCACGAGATCCAAGCTCCCAGTCTCTCAGACGGGGAAGTTATCTCTGCTCAGTTATTCTCGGGCCTGCCGCCCACCTGCTTCACCTGCTTTGACTCCCCATGCAACACATCAGGGAGGAGCTAAGGATCTCCTCGCCAGGGTCTGGGAGGCAGGGCAGCTAGGCGACGTGATGTGACAGTTGGCTAATCTAGTATTGCTGAGGAAGCTCAAGGTCTTGGCGGGTGGGCATTAGGGGATTCCCAGGTGCAGGTGCTCCCCTGTTCCCTCATTGCTCTGTCGCCCCTCTTTCGGTGTCAGGTGCAGCCTTTGGATCTGTTCTCCATCTTGATGTCGAAGCCCCTCTCCCTGCAGCCTGCTCTATAGTGCAGCGTAATGGGACCCCCCCGAAGCTTCTTGGTTCTGGAAATTCTAGTTGCATCAAGCACCATTGTTTGCCCTTATCAGTGGGACTTTTCTCTGCTTGAGCTCATTCTGGCTGTGAGTGGAGGAAGTCTGAGGTTTAAACCAGTTGCATGGCGAGTGGGGATGGGGGGCAGTAGGGGGCACTTGGACACTGTAGCTCCTAAACCATCCCAAGGCAATGGTTGGAGACTGTTAATTTCTTTCAAGGACCACAAGATCTACTCTGCACATTTCTCTCCAGAGCTGTCACTTTGAGATTTCACTATACTCCTGACTTAGTACTATTACTTAATATCCCACATATTGCCCTGTCTTGGATTCCTCCTTCTTCTCCCTGCTCCAGAAACCTTTTATTTAAGGAATACAAAGTTCATGCGTTTCATAAGTACAACTTTAGTAACATAGTAATTCTTCCTACCCACACTCCCACTCCTCTTCTTCCTCCCTCTCCTATTCCCATTCTTAATTTTTACTAAGATCTATTTTAATTAACTTTATACACAGTGATTAACTCTATACTAAATAAAGAGTTCAACAAATAGTATGAAAACAAAAAAACTGTTCAACAGTCAAGACAAGGGCTGTTCAAAGTCATTGCATCTCAGAGTGTCAGTTCCTCCTTATTTGATGGAATACACACACACACACACACACACACACACACATTCCTCAGAGAGGGTTCATGACAAGTAAATCTTCTGAGTCTCTCTGTGTCTGAAAATATTTTAGCCTTCACACATGCTTGTGAATAGGAAAAATTCTAGACTGAAAACCATTTCCTCTGTAGTTTAAAGGCTCCATTCCATTACCTTTGAAGATCTGGTGTTGCTGCTAAGAAGTCTGATTCTCATTCCTTCATGGTTATGTCACATATTCTCCCTCTCTCCCTCCCTCCCTCTCTCCCTCCCTCCCCCTCTCTCCCTCCCTCCCTCTCTCTCTCTCCCTCCCTCCCTCCCTCTCTCTCTCTCAAAACTTGTGAGTGTGTGATTCTTTGGGATTGTTTACATGTGTCTTTGGATTTTGAAATTCCACAACAATGTATCCAAGAAGGGTTCCCTTTACATCCCTTATGCTTCCTTTCTATATGAAGATCTACCTGTCTGTCTCCCAGCTCTGGGAGAATTTTTTTTTATCTAAGATGATTGCAACCCATCTACTCTGTTCTCTATCTGGAGCTATGAACAATTATATTGAACTTCTAGGTTGATACTCTATTTTGAGTCTTTTATTCTTATTTTCAGTCCTATGGGGGATTTTTTGTCTATATTATGAGAAATTTTCTTAATTTGTAATCTTCAACCCTTCTATTTCATGCTTATTTAGGCAATCACAGTTTTAATTTACAAGAGCTCTTCCTGTTCTCTTTTTATTGTTCTTTTTTCAAAGAACTCTGTTCTCATTTTATGATTACCATATGTCACCATGACTTTCTCGAGATCTTACTAATCAGAAGTTTAAAGATGGTGCATCTTGCTTCCTAAATGAGCTCTGATTCCTAAGGAGTTTTTTTCTTCAATTTTTTCAATTTTATTTTTCAGTGTTATCTTTGTTCCTCTCGTTCACGCTGCTGGCTTTCCTCACACGTGCCTGATCTAGACAGATGATGTTGTATTCATATTTACAGAGTAGAGGTGAGACAGGCATCCGGCCTGGTGGGTGAGATGGCCATGACCCACGTCGGAGTCCCTGAGTTAGACTCCCAGCTCCAGCTGCTGACCCCAGCTTCCTCCTAATGCAACCCTGGGTGGCAGCGGTGCTGGTTGAAGTAATTGGACTTCTGCCACTTGCACGGGAAACCTGGATTGTGCTCCTGGCTCCCGGCCTCAGCCCAGACCCAGCCATTTCTGGCATCTGGGGAGTGAACCAGCAGATGGAGTGCTCATTCTGGCTCTCTCTGCTCCCCCCACCCCACCACCACCAACACAGCGTCTGCTTCTCTCCCTCTGAAACAGATGGACAGTGAAGACTAGATGGGTTTTTCCAGCAGCCAGAGGCGGACAGTCTTTGCTGTTATTGTATTCAGATGTGTCGGCCCACTAGGTCTGCTGCAGGAGTGAGCTGATGAGGATGTGATAGAGATGAACGGTTTATTTAGGCCAAGAAACCCTGACTCCTTGAATCAGAAGAGCTTTCCTCTGGGGCGCAAACACCCCCCAGCAACCCTGGCTCTCTCGAGGAGGTTCTTATTCCTCCCCTTCACTGGAAACTAAAGCTCTCTCCACTCTGCAGGGCAGGGGACAGGAAGGAGAGGAGTTGCTCTCCCCCTAAGCCTCCCGCCCATGTATCTTGGGCTGCGATTTCTTGGCTTCACTTACTCCATCAGCAGACTTCTACCTGCATTCCATTTTCCACATATTAAAACAGTCGCCCCTGGCAATGACCTCCCATTTCCTTCTTTACTATGAGACTTTTCCCTCTTCTTAAGTTTTGGCTGTTATCTTCATAGGGCTGTCTGCGGAGAGGAAAGATAAAAACACGTTCTGGTTCTCTGAGCCAGAAGTGCTCATGACGTCTCCTTTCCTCCGCCAGCTCTTTCCTGCGGCCTTCCCGAGGCTCCCAAGAATGGAATGGTGTTTGGCAAGGAGTACACGGTGGGGACCAAGGCTGTGTACAGCTGCGGCGAAGGCTACCACCTGCAGGCAGGCGCCGAGGCCACTGCGGAGTGCCTGGATACAGGCCGATGGAGCAACCACAACGTGCCCCCGCAGTGTGTCCGTGAGTCCTCGGGGAGTGCGGGCAGCAGGCAGGAGGGGCTGGGGAAGCTGCTGAGGAGCTGTGATGGGGGAAAATGTGCACCTGCAGGCTGGGGGGCTCGGGGGTGGGAGGCGGTGGGCAGTGCCATCCCAGCCTATGGTCCCTTTCGAAGTTGCTCTCAAGGCGTCCTTAGACCGTTTTGCCCTGAGATGTTTCCATAAAATACCTGGAATCTAGTAATAAATCACCTGGTCCACTGCCTCTTAAGTGGAGAAGCTGTCAGAAAGTGTGTGCGGATGTGCCTGGCCACAAAACTAAAATGACAACATGCTGGCCACCTACAGTGTCATGTCCAGTTGAAAGATATGGTTTTTTTTTTTTTCCTTCTTTTTGCTTGGTTTGGCCTTCACTGCTTACAAAAAAGTTTTGAATTGCTTCCCACCATTTTTAAATGAGGAAATTTTCCATCAAAACTCCAGATTTCTGGCTTCCCTTGAAAACTGAAGGTCTGATCAGAAGAGACATTTCCCCAGTCTCACACCCGGCAGTCGTGGTGACGGCACCATCGTTCCTATTTTTGGTGGATCCGCACCCCCAGGGTTCCTGTATCCTCCACCCAGCCTACTTCGTTACTTCCCACGCTGCCTGGGGACTGATTCTTGGACTCATCGTGACTGCGTGGAGACCCCCTCCCCCGTAAAGCTGGACTCCTGCAGCCTCTTCCATGAGTAATGAATGCCCCTTGCCCCTTGTGTCCCCAGCCGTGACCTGTCCCGAAGTCAGCAGCATCGGCGTGGAGCATGGCCGCTGGAGGCTCATCTTTGAGACACAGTACCAGTTCCAAGCCCAGCTCATGCTCATCTGTGACCCTGGCTACTACTACACTGGCCAGAGGGTCATCCGCTGTCAGGCCAACGGCAGATGGAGCCTCGGTGACTCCATGCCCACCTGCCAGAGTAAGCCCAGGAGGGGGGTGGGCAAGTTTGGCACAGCAGCCTCCTCCCTGAGCTGTCGGCATCACCGGGGACTGCCGTGGTCCTCTTCCCAGACACTCACCTGGAGTCAGGAGCTGGGGAAAAGCCTACCCCCTCCTTTCCAGCACTCATTAGTCTCTTGTCATCTCATCAACAGCTGCCTTTCTCCAGGTGACCCTGCACAATGTCATTTACTCCGCATTCCCCAGGCTCCTGCCATTTATCAAGCGATGCAAGGTGTGAAGATATAGCATTGTGGTTCCTGCCTGCAAGGGGCATATAGTCCACTGGACAGGTAGACGAATAAAGAAGCAGTGCACCTGCTAAGTGGTCATGAAGCAGTGGTCATGGTAACACCTGTAGTGGAAGGGTGTATAGGAAGCATGAAGTTCCCATAGGGGTCAGGCCACCTAAGCCTGCCTGCCTGTCCTTCACCATGAACTGTTTTTCCTCTGGCTCTTTAATATAAATGCAAAAGTCTGTGTCCCTGAGAAGAAACTGTGAGGCTGAGGTTTGTTAAGGAGAGGTCTCAGGGTCACCACCTGCAGAAGGCGGGGGAGGGGTCAGGGCAGGGCCACGGGGAAGCGGAGCTGGCGCAGTCTCTGGCAGCCTCCGCCAACACCCCGGTGAGCGCTGCAGCTGGGCTCGCCTTTCAGAATTGTCACAGACGACCATCTCCACGCTGCCCCTCGATTGCCTGCAGGCTGGCCGGGCAGAGAGTGTGACCTCAGGTGGGAGGGCCTTCCACCCAGGCTCTCTGAGAAGGGCCCACAGCCAAGGCTTGTCTCCCACCACCTGGGGAAATCGGAGCTTCCGTCACCCAGGAAGCTCTGACTGGCCCACCACAGCACCGCCGCCATAGAGCTCTGCCTGTCGCACGTGTGTGGTCAACGAGGCCATCATAGAGGAGGAGCCCGCCGTGGGCTAGAGGGAGCAGTTTGTCACTGAGAGGGGGCGTGAGTCCGGGTGGGATGAGGAGTGATCTTCCCACGCCTCAGGTCTGTGCACGGTGGTGCGGACTCCACGGTGGAGCGGAACCACGTGTGGGTCCATGAGCAGACCTCACAGGCCGGGAACAGCCTCACTCCAGGGCAGCCGCTCACATCTCATACAGCCTTGGCAAAGAGGCCCCACCTCCTGTGCCAGCCAGAGGCCAGCAGCGGAGCTGGGATGAGGAGCCCGAGGCTGCCTGCCGCTGGCCCCAGCAGCAAAGCACACAGAGACTGATTGGCAGCGTCCCCCTGGGCGCCGGGGAGCACCCCACAGGGTCACACCACAGTGCACCGCGAACCACCCCAGGAGTTTTTAAATACACTTGCCTGGGTGTCCTTCATATCCAGAGATGGTGGCGCATGAAACCCAGGGGCACTGGAACTCCTCAGCTCTGGGGACGCCACCAGCAGCGGTGTCACCCCCCAAACGCCGGCCATGAGTTCCCGCGGAGCAGGTTCAGGCAGCTCTGGTTTTTGTCGTCGTCCTTGCTAAGCTGCAGCAGGGCGTCCTGCTCACTGAGTGTTCTGGTCCCTGCAGTCATCTCCTGTGGCGAGCTGCCCATCCCTCCCAGCGGGCACCGCATCGGGACGCTGTCCGTCTACGGGGCGACGGCCATCTTCTCCTGCAATTCCGGGTACACGCTGGTGGGCTCCAGGGTGCGGGAGTGCATGGCCAACGGGCTCTGGAGCGGCTCTGAGGTCCGCTGCCTTGGTAAGTGGCCTCCCCAGGACAAGTCAGATCTCTCCGAAACTAGGGGCCAGCCTTGGAACCTATCATTGGCCTACTTCCATAAAATGTTGAATCCACAGACTATGGCTCCTCTACCATGAGCAAAACCCTGAACTAGGGGCAGGTACTTGGTGCACCTGTTATAAGATGCCTGCATCCCATATCGGAGTGCCAGGGTTTGAGTCCTGGCCCCAGGCCCCATTCCCATTTCCTGCTGATGCAGACCCTGGGAGGCTGCAAGTGATGACTTGAGCAGGTGAGTCCCTGCCATCTACGTGGGAGAACTGAATGGGGTTCCCAGCTCCCAAGCATTTGAGGAGTGACCTTGTAGGTGGGAGACCTCCCTCTCTCTCCAAATAAAAAATAAATAAGACCCTGGGCTGGCTTCTTTCGGGGACACCCAGAGAATGAGAAGAGCTTTCAGTCTCCTGAGGCAAGATTTTGAGGGTTCTCATCCTGATTGGAAAGGTACCCCTTATTCACCCTTTCATAAGGGACAGAGCCCCGTCTCCACCGCTGGACAACTGTAACACCCCGAGAGTACCTTGCATATTGCAAGTTAGCGGTTTTACATCTCTACTAAGCAAATGACAGAAGCCATAAAACAACCTGGCTTACAGAGGACAAAGAGCTTTTCCCCCACAGTTAATCCATTCTGTGCCTGAGCTGTGCTGCTAAGGTTTTCTCCCTTCTTGGATCACTCAAGTCCAAAAGAGAGACCCGGCCACACAAAGCTAACGAGAATAGAAGGCATGGCTGTCTCGCTGTCTCAGGCCCCTGGCAGGGACACAGTCACAGGTTATTTCCACAAGGGGCCCAAGGAAGCTGGTGGGAATGCCAGAAATACACTCTACCCAACCCCATTTATAAACATGACTCACCTGGGTGCCTCTCAAGAAGGAAGTGTGAATGTAGCCAAACCCCATGTTTTTACGGGGTTATCACCAACACAACCCGCCTTGGACTGCCTGGTTATAGACCCGGGTGTCCTCTGCGTTCCAGATCAGTAAATCCTCAGTAGCATTTCCATCATGCCTAGGACCCCTGAGGTCACTCTTGGAGAGCTACCCACGGGAGGAGGCTGGGGAAGCAAGCGTGGCTGGATCATTAGCCACCATTCCTGTGTCTGGGTCCGTCCCTGTGTCTCGTCCCCCTGCCCAGGCTCCACTTCACTTTCTGTGACCTCCTCTTGGGTTTTCTCTCTGTCCCCATGCTGCCCTCAAGCCGGACACTGTGGAACTCCCGACCCCATTGTCAACGGGCACATCAATGGCGAGAACTACAACTACAGGGGCAGCGTGGTGTACCAGTGCAACGCCGGCTTCCGCCTCATCGGCATGTCTGTGCGCATCTGCCAGCAGGATCACCGCTGGTCTGGCAAGACCCCTTTCTGTGTGCGTAAGTATGTCGCCCGCGCTCCCTCGCCGTGGGGCTCGGTTCTGCAAGCACTCTCCCCCTTTATCTCGTGATCCAGTTACGAGGGGCTTTTGTAGATGGATTCGTTTTTTTCCCAAAGACATAATCATTCCGTGTATCATTTTCAGGTGTCGGCATCGTTAATTACGTCTTTTACTTTATTTCCTCCTTGTGCATTCTTTCAGACGACTTTTAAGTTCATTTTCTAGTTTTTGAGTTAAGAATTTAAGTCGTTCGTTCTCATTCTTTCAAGTTTGTATTGATTTTCATCGATGAAAGTGTTAAGACCATCACATTTTTTCTGATTGTTGCTTTAATTGTATCCCATGGATCCTAATAATGAATATTTATTATTTATTAGAAATTCTGTAATTTTACTACTAATGTCCCTTTTTGCCCAGAAGATCTTTAATAGACAATTTCTTTTTTAATCTCTAGGTCGAAGGGCCTTTTTGTTTTTATTTTGTTTTTAATTTCTGATTTTACTGCTTGTATATTTCTAGTTGTTGGAATTTACTGATGCTTTCTTTGTGACTCTGGTCGATGATTATGAATGCTCTGTACACTGGAGAAGAAAGGGAGCACAGCTAGCTCTCTATGAATATTCATAAGGTAGACCTGATGGATTGCGTTGTTTGAGTCCTCTGCATTTTTACTTGTTTTTCATCCACTTGACCTGTTTCATTCTGAGAAGTGTGTGTAATGTTTCCAGTTACTAGTGTTTCTCTCTTTCCCCTGCATTTCCTGTTGTTTCTGCTACACTAGAGACATTGCTGTGTTAATGGTTCATAGATACTCTTAACCATTATATCTCCATTGTACGTTGTGATTCTGAACCTTTAAAATACCTTCATCGTTGTTAGCAGTTTTCAGCTTGAATGTTGCTTTGCTTGGCTTTGGGCTCACAACCCCTTCCAGCCCTTCTCCAGGCAGACTTTTAACCATGTACTTATTTCAGCCTATCTGGATGGCTCTGTGCACAACATTGAGTTTACCCTTGTTTTATGAGCCCATTTGAAAATCTTTCTTTTAGTAGGTTAGTTAAAGTAATTCACATATATTGAATTATTTGATGTGTTTGGTCTTAATTTTATAGTTTTTATTTAACTTTTATATATAGAATGTTATTTAATGGTGTATCTTCGTGCAATGTGTTATTTGTGTATTTAGAAATGCTTGTATCTCTGTTATTTCATTTACTGCTGTACCATTTTAGTACCATTTGTCTGCATTTTCTTATATAGCTTTTTATCATTCTGTTTACTGATATATACTTATTTATTTATTTCCATTTTATTTGAAAAGCAGAGAGACACAGAGGAGTTTTCCATCTTCTCATTTACTCCCCAGTGATTACAGCAGCCAGGGCTGGGCCAGGCTAAAGCCAGGAGCCCGGAGCCCAGAACTCGATCCAGAGCTCGCATGTGGGTGGCAGGGATCCAAGTGCTTGAGCTATCACCTGCTGCCTCCCAGGGTGTGCATTAGTGTGAGGCTGGCTTAGCAGTGGAGGGGCCGGGATGGATCCAGGCTCTGATGTGAGGCTGG